CACACACACACACACACACACACACACACACACAAAATCATGATGTATATGTCACATTGGCGATATGGAACCGAATTGAATTAGGTGCAAAGAGTAAGCGTAACACAGCCTTAAAAGATAGCTTTAACACACACACGCGCAGACACACACACACACTAGAAAGCACATACACATTCTGTGCATATTTACCGTGAGAAGGACGATAGCTGAGCAGTAAAGGTGGTTCCTCATCTTCTTCAATGTATTCTTCTATGTACATATGATCTGGAACAGACAGGAGACAAATCAGATTTATTCATGTTTTAAACATGGTCAGGTCCACATGTACTAAATAGTATATGGATGTGCTATATACATTTAGAATTTATTGATAATTTAACTTCAACCAAAGCTTGACCTTTTACATGCCAGGAAAGTTTTGCGACCCCTGTTCAGCAGTCTTTCTCTCTCCCTCTCTCTTTCTCTCTCTCTCTCACACACACACAAGCTCACATAGCAAAAAACACCTGAGTCATTTTTGTGACCGAGCACAGTGGCTCTTGTGACAGGGAGGTAAGGAGCACTTGTAAAATGCCATAAATAACATTTACCATGAATCAGGAGATTTTAATAGACAGGAGTGAATGAACCTGGGCTGCTCTGTAACTACTTCTGTCCTGTAACTACTCACAAACACATTTAAGGCCATTATTCATGCTGCCACATATTCATTTACCAACACGTGCTGACTTTCTCAATCCAGGCCTGAGAGTTTTTCCTGGTGTGAGTTAGAAAAATAGGTTCTTCTCATGGACAAAACTAAGTAGTGTTATGATAAAGATGGTGGCACTGCCTTCTTTACAATAAGTATGTTGGAAATAAAATGAAAGCTTTAAAGCTCCAGCAGGACAATCTCTGAGTCATCATCGATGGTTCGTGTGTTTAGATCTGTGTTACCTGTTACTACAGTGTTACTATTTACTTAATATTTTATAACCCTAAATCCCTGCAGTGCATGTGCGCGTAAACATACACACATATTATCATGTTTGTATTTAACTTAATGGACTAAGATGAAATCAAACCTGATTTAACAGTTTTAAGCGTACAAACACTTGCACTTGCTCACGTTCAGATTTGAGTTTTCACTATAATGTAAAAGGCCAAAACTGGATCATAAAAACATTAAAAAGGCAGCAGAGCAGAGCAGTCAGCTTGGTGGTCACTGACCAAAGAAACACATGAGACAATGGAGATATGTCAAGCAAAAAGATGACACAATAATATGGAAGAAAGAAGGAAAAAGATGAAAAACTGAGGGAATGGGCTGCAGTATTTGGTTAGAGCAAAGTTAAAAGTAAAAGAGAAGTTTAAAAAAACCCTAAAGAGACAGTATGGATGGAGGAAGACATTATGGAAAGGATAGTGAGGAAAAGAGAGAACAAAAGAGAGAAGACGTACAGAGGAGCATACTCACCCCAGACTTGCAGTTGAATTACAAAGTTGCCGTGACAACTCAGTGAGGATGCTGTGCTACAAAAGTCTGGGCTAAAACTTAAATATAACCTAACTTTCTTACAAAAACGCTGTTGTCACGTAACTTAAAAAGGGACTACAATCTTTAACAAACTGGAAAATGACGACATAGAATCTCAGATCCTAGGAGAAATTACCAAGTGAATGTTGAGATGATAGAAAAGTTACAAAAGTAAAACAAAAGAGTCAGACACACAAATCTGTGTAGCTGAATGGAGAAGTGAGTGTACCTGCATGTGTCTTATACTGTCACTCTGACCACAGACACACCCCTGATGCCCTTAGGACATGCCCATCACTGCTGAGTGTGTGTGTGTGTGTGTGTGT